CAGTCTGAATTTATATTTCTCTGATAGTTATGGATATTGAACACCATTTCAAAATTTTCTTGGCCATTTGTATTGATTTAAGAACTGTTTATTCAACTAATTAATGGACTTATTGTCTGGATGACTTGGTTTGGGGGCATTTAATTTTTGGAGATCTTTATGTATTCTTGACATTAATCCCTTGTCTGATGTTATCTAAGCAAGAATTTTCTCTCATTTTGTAGGTTCTCTTGGTTCCCTTTCCACTCTGGTGGTAGTTTCCTACAGGCAGACTTTTTTCTTTTCTTTTCCCTTTTAATTTTTGATATTACACAGCACTGCTTGCCAAAGTCCTTGTTATGTATTGGAGAGGCTGAATATTTTTTCTGTAGCAGTTTCAATTCTTACATTAAATATTTATTCAGTTCCAAAATTATTTTGTGTAGGGTAAGACATATGGATCTAGTTTTATTCTTGTACATTTAGGCATCTAGTTTTCCTGTCATAAGTTTTTTTAAAATGTGTTTTTTTCTGATGATATTTTCACGTCTTTATAAAAAAAATAGGTGGTCTTTCATGTGTGAGTTTATTTTTGGGTTCTCTATTCTTTTGACTGGCTTACAAGTCTGTTTTTGTTCCAATACCATGCTGGTTTTGCTCTTATGACTTTGTAGTGTAGTTTGGATCGGGTATTGTGATACTTCTAGCATTACTCTTTTGGCTCAAAATTGTTTTGGCTGTTTGGACTTGTGCTATCATATGAATTTTAGGATTACTTTTTCTCAGTTTATGAGGTATGCTGTTGAAATTTTCATGGGAATGTCTTGACTCTATAGATCACCTTCAGAAATAAAAGTTATTCACAGTATCCATCCTGCCACTCCATAGTGTGGAAGGTCTTTTAAAATCTTATTATATTCACTTTGTTTTTTCACACTTTGTTTTAATTGTGGAAGTCTTTATTCCCTTTGTTAGGGTGTCCTTGGTGTTTTATAGACTTGAAGCTATTGTGACTGGATATTTTTTCCATGACTTCATTCCCATCAAGATTGTTATTGGCATTTACAGAGAAGCTATTGATTTTCATAGCTTATTTTATGTAGTGTTATTTTTCTGAAAGTTCTTGTAAGATCTCAGAGAAATTTCATGAAGCATTTGGTGGTTTTGAACATAAAATCATATATTCCCTACTTGTATCCTTTGTAATTGTTTTATCTTGTCATATTGCTCTAACTAGGAGTTCAAGCATCATATTGGGGGAAAAATCACAGTGGGTATCCTTGTCTCAATCCTTATCTTAGAGGAGTTTGATTAGCTATTACCTATTTACTGTAATGTTGATTATTAGTTTGCTGTTGAGATGCAGTCCTTCTATCCCTAGTTTATACAAGGGTTTTCTATGAAGTCATGTTGGACTTTGCCAAGGGGATGATTATACAATTTATTGATTTGCATATATTGAACAAACCCTACATCCCTGAGTTAAAATTACCTTGTCAAAGTGTATGGTCTTATTAATGCATCCTTTAACTTGATTTGCAAATATTTTTGCTGTTTTAATCACTGAAAGTAATCTGCAGTTTTCTTTTTGTGTGTGTATATATATATATACATATATATATATATATATATATATATATATATATATATGGGGGGACATTGTTTGTCTGTTTTTGATATCAAAGTAGCACTGGCTTTACAGAATGAGTTTGATAATGTTCCTTTCCTTTTCATTTGTGGAATAGTTTAAGGAATATTGATGCTATCTCTTCCTTAAAAGTTTAGTAGACACAGAGAAATTTTCATCTTCTATGTTTACTGCTGTTCTATTTACTACATAAAGGAAATGCAACATGTCTAATTGTCCATCAACCGATGAATAGTGAATATATATATTTCACAGATATAAAATGGAGTGTTATTGAGTTCTAAAGAAAAATGAAAACACAAAATTTTCAGGAGAGTGTATAATATTAAAGTCTATTTCTAAATGTTACACAGTCTTTGGCAGCTTTCAAATTATTACTGGTGACTTCTGTTTTAGGAAATTTTTTATTTCATGTCCAGGAACGTACTATTGAGTATTTTTCCATTACTCGATGATATGTGAAATTAGGTGTGATGATATCTGAAGTTTATGTTGTTGTGTTTTGTGTGTGTGTATGTGTGTGTGTGTGTGTTGTATTTTGTTGCCTTGATAAAAACTGTCAAAATTCAGGAAGTCTGTTAAATGTTCAGTGGATTGGCTTAATTCTTTCAAGCCTTGCTTGTAAGCTGTGTTAGGGGTTATCTAGAAACTCTGCAATACTCTAGCACCTCTATTGGGTCATTAATCAAGGTGGTGCACAAAGATTCTCAAGGCATTGTTTGTAGAATCCTGATCATCTCTAGACTGCACATGATGACTGTGAACACACACTATGTAGCCCCCACTTGGTTCTTAGTACTTCTCCTCCTGGCCTCACACAGTTTTCTTTGTGTTAAGGGGTTGTTGCCCTATTAATAACAGATACAGTTTCCATGAAGGCCACTTCTCTTAACTCTTTCATTGCTCCCCCACTCCATTCTCCCCACCTTGACCATCCCATTCCCATTACTTCATGTTCTCATCCCACATTTGCTCCCCTCTACTCCCCCCTCCAACCCCAGTTTACCCACGAGATCCCATTTTTTCTCCTTCACAGGGTGATCCCTGCGTCCCTCTTAGAGTCCTCCTTGTTACTTACCTTCTCTGGAGCTGTGGATTGTAGCTTGCTTTACATCTAGAATCAACTTATGACTGAGTACATACTGTGTTTGTCCTGCTTTGGTAGGATTTTTAATTTCAAGTAGAGGAATGTACTATTGAATGTTCTTCCATGGTCTATCAAAATTACTTTTTCCTTTAAAAATGTATGTCAGAACAGAGAAGAATCATGTTCAACTCCAGGGAACTCCTCAATGTGCTGTTAAATGGGATGAGAAATGTTCCTAGAGGAAAATTTTCTTTTCTCTTCTCTTTTGTACTCCCCTCTTCCTCCTATCTCTCCTTCCCTCTTTTCTTACTCTTTCTGCTCTTCTTGGCTGGGATTTCACTCTGTAGCTCAGACTGTCCTGGGACTCACTATGTAGCCCAGGCTAGCCTTGAATCTTCAGTGATCTTCCTGCCTCAGTGCCCCAAGTTCTATGATCACAGACAAAAGCCATGGAAACCTGCTCCCAGGGAAGTTTTAAGGAACAATTCTGTGGGTTCTCCATTCCCGATTCTTAGTTCAGCATACATACTAGAGGTTTAATTCATCATGTGGTGAATGTCTTCTGTATTAAGCCTGATACAGTTTGCATTGTCAGTATTCCATAATTGCTCCTGGGTTACAGGTGTGGCCTCTCAGTTTGCTGCTTTGGGAGGTGGTGGAATATTTAGTAGGTAGGACCTAATGGGAGGTACTGGGGCCACTGGGGCCGTGCCCTCGAAGGTGACTCTGGGTTCTTTCTCTTTGGTCTCCTGGCCATGAGAGCTGAGGAATCACTCCATCATGCTTTTCTGATGTGATGTGTTGCTTTGCCAGAGTCAAATTGTACCAAGTGTTATGGGCTGTCAGCTTTTCTCTTTAGAAGTTGATTCATCTCAGATATTGATTGTAGTGATGTAAAGATAACACAATCACTGATTGAGATCATAGCAGACCCTTGATATAATATTCACAAATATTGGTTTTAAATCCCTATAGTATCCCAGGAGAAAAAAATAATCTGTGGATACTCAGTTTTTTTGTATAAAATGATGACGTATTTGCATATAAACAATACACATTTCCATATACTTTAAATTATCCTCAGATAGCAATACTACAATACTTAATGTAATATAAATGTATAAACAGATGCTATGGTGTGTATTTAGGGAACAAAGACAGCACAAAATAGTCTGCACATGTTCAGTGTAGATACAAATTTTTTTCCTATTCTTTTCAGTCTGAGACTGGTAGAGAATGGAAGCTGTTAATGCAGAAAAATGTATGACCACTCAAAATACATTATATGTATATGTGTGTGTACATCTTCAGCATTTTGTCATATCCTGGAATAAAGACAAAGCCCTCTTCTGGGTGTGATGCACTTTAGAAACTTTTAACCTACTTTTAAAATGTAGTCCCAAAGTGAAAGCATATGTATCACAGATACTTACCCTCCACCTTTAATTTTCTCCCCTGCCCCCTTCTCTGCCCTTCTCACAGAAAAATAAAGAGCTACCCAGAAGAATTGTATATATGCTTTCTTGGTGTCTTTGATTAGATATAGCTCAAATATCAGGAAGTTAAAACCTGAATGATTCCATGACCCTAAAACTACAAGGTTTCAAACACATTTCAGTAAAAGAAAATCATCATGGTGTATAAAAATATGTCTTTCCATCTTCATCAACTCCCCCCTCAGATCAGTAAGACAGATTTTCATTGAGTTCAGCTAAAGAAATCATAAACATTGAAAAGAGCTACAGCTTATTAATCCTGGAGCTTTCCTCAGAACTTCAGCTAGCTTGGTATTTTGATCTCTTGTGTGAAATATGTGCTCAGGGTTGATCCATTAGATTTCAACAACAAAATCTTCTCTTGATGGGGGCGACACTATATTTTTATGGAATTTTAGGAATGTGACACATTGTAAAAAACATCCCAACTAAGCATTGATGAGATGTTGATTTTCTAGACATTGGAGTTTTGGTAATGATTGCTTGTCCCACTTGTGAGTTTTCTAAAAACAAATAAATAAAAATATCACAGAGGTAGTATCAGCCCAATGGATCAATCAAAGAAATCTAATCCAGCTACCTTTTTGGTATCACAAATACCCAGGCATTCTAGTCATGAATTACAAATGAGAAAAATCAAGGAAATGGCAATTTCTTTCCCTCTACTGCTGGCTGGCATTTTTACAGGTGTTTTTTAAATCATATTTTAATTGTAATTAATATTCTAAAAACCAATCTAACTAGTCAAAACTATGACCACACAATGCCAGTTCCACACACAGTCACGACATAATGTTTAGTGTACTGAGTACAGCCATTATTTATTAAAAGTAACACATAAAAACATGAGTAACATACCTGTCTGTACAGAGGAACATGGTATGATTTCTACTTAACATCTAATAACACAATTGCAAATTCTCCCTGCATTAACATAATGGGAAACAATAAATACTAACACTAACTAATATAATAACACAAAGAAGACAGGCAGGTCTCCACGAATCAAGGCTGTAAGCTCTGGAAACTTTAAACTCAGCTATGGCTTGTCTCCCAGGAGCACACCTGCCTGGACTGAGGGGTCACTGTTCACAAGAGTTCTTCCTAGAGATGTCCCTGAAAACTAGAGTCATTTGATTTTCTACATCTCAGACAGAAGATATCTAGAACTCTCTATGTTTCTGTCGGATTGTGGCATGTCTTTCCTTTGCTGGGACAGGCAACTGGTGTAGACTGGCGAGGAGGCTGTGAATTGGCACTGGTTCCTCAGGGCTCTCTCCTTCCCACTCTTGGAACTTAGAAGCTGAAGATTAGACCTGTGGACAACGAAAACAACCAAAGCTCAGATCCAAGGAAGTGAAGAACTCGGTGGTAGTAAGGAAGACTAGGTCTTGGCAAGAAGTATTAGTGATTTCCTGAAGTTTTTGTTATACATAGTGGTCACATGAATGTCACACACACTTCAACATGGCCATTCTGAATGATTTTCTTTCCCAACCTGGTCCTCATTCCATAATCCCACCTTTGCTGCTATTGTCTTGACTCATATAAGTGCACAGGCCATAAGTGTGGGTTGCATCAGCAATACTGTTCCTACTTTTTCCGGCCCACATGCAGCCAATTGGCACATCTTGATTTTCTCTTAAACAGTGGTAGATACTGAACCCTGAACTCTGTACAAGCTAGACCAGTACCCCACAGCAAAACCCCCAGAACCATGGCTTCCAAGTCCTGGGAGTGGAATCTAGAGTCTAAGCCTTAGGGTGTAGAAATAGGTGAGGGCATCCTTGATGTCTCTCCAGAGCATCCTAGGTGGTTGAGCACCTGTGAGAGCAGAAGGGAGATGAGATCTCCTGGTGAGGGAACAAGAAAGTGGATGGAAATGGGAATAAACACATGAAGGGAAATAAGCTAGAATCAAAGAGACACCGTGTATACCTGTTCTTTTCTGTGGACCTTAGATTTTATGTAGATAACACAAAAAGCAAAAATGAGGCTGTCTTAGGGAAGAAAGGAGAGAAAAGGAGGAGGAGAAAGGGGGTGACTATAGGGCATATATATGGTCAAAGTATATGATCTACTAGAATAAAAATGCCTGTGATACCCATATACCAGTAAAGACTCTGGCCTTAGCAGGAGTTCTGTGTGACAACAAAGTATATCTACAGTCATGCTACCTTTGCTAGTTACTCCTTATATGAGGATAGATTCAGTAAATTATAACAAGATACATTTATACCCACCAAGGAGTACTAGTATGTAAAGAAAAATGTGCATGATGGGACATAACATAGCTCTGATTCTTTGATTATAGTGGCATTCAGAAGTAAGCACAATTTTTTGTGTGTGTGTTTTGAGATAGGGTCTCTCTGTGTAGCCATGGTTGTCCTGGAACCCTGAAACTCAACTCTGTATATCAGGCTGGCCTTGAGCTCACAGAGATTTGCCTGCCTCTGCCTCCCAAGTGCTAGGATTAAAGGCCCATGCCACCACTGCCTGGCTAAGAACAAGCTTTTTAAATCAATTACAAAGATGCAGATAGCTATTTTTGAGTATGGTGCCAAGTATTTTGAGGATAAAATCATCTCTGTTCTCACAATTGGTATCAAAGTGAACTGTAGAGGAAAAGTTATCTTGGTTATCAATCTGACTGGATCTGGGATCAAGTCACTAAGAGATAAGCCAGTAGGGATACCTGTGAGGGTTTTCTCTTATTTGAAATGAAAGAGCCACTCCAAATCGGGGTACCAGCTCTGGAGCCAGTACAATAAGAGGAAGGCTAAGAAAGAAAGCTGTGCTTTTCTCCTGCTTGCCTTATGCATGCTGCCGCTGCCACTGATGCATCCCTTCACTGATGTCAGAGCCCTGCTTCTCTAGGCATCAAATGTGGCCTGCAGACTAGTTGCTCTCCAGGAACCCTCCAGGTTTTGGGGCCAGAGTGGGACTGCAGAGGTCTTCGTCCTTATGGACTGAACAACTACTGGGTTCTCAGTCTCAAATGTGAAGGCAGCCATCATTGCTATAGCCAGCCCCACACTGTGTATGCTAATGGAAGAAATTCCCTTTAAGCATACATTTTTATAGGCTCTGTTCCTCTAGGGCACCCTGACTAGTAATACCCCAACATGACACTAAATCTGCAGTGTGAGAGTAGTATTTTCTGGAGCCCTATCAACCTTCCTATTGTTATAAACATAGCAGGTGTTAGGATAGCTGAGTGGGTGAGTCAACATCTTTCTGTAATTGTTCTCTATTTCTTACATAAGATTTTATTCTCCCAGTAGATAACACTTTGCGAAAGTCAAAGATCACAGCTCAAAAGTCTCTTGGAATTCCCGTCTTCCTTGCCAATTCACATTAAACATAATTACCTACAAAAAAAGTAGATGATCAACAATGCCACAGAAGGCACTAAATATATCTAGAATGTTCATTTGAGGTGAACATTTCTAATGTGAGTGTTTGCACGTTGTTGTTGTGTACAGATTCAGCAACTTCTCTTCCTTCCCTGATTCTGACGAACTCATTGCTATTCATTCCAAATCTCTGCATTGATATCTGATTTTGAGTTGACAACCAAGAAATTACTCACTGGTTATTAAGTTCTAAGTACAGTGACAGAAATATGTATGTTGAAGGAAAAGGTAACACAAATAGATGGTACAATTGGCAGATGTCAAAGTTGTTTCTTCCCACACCTTTCTGATCTTTATTCTTCAGAAGATGGTTATGCAATCCTGTATTATTCAGAAGAGCAACAAGAGTTGGTTAGCTTTGCAAATCAAAGACAAGAAACCACAGTCCAGGAATATATACTTTGCATGCGTATGATATGTATATGCTATGCATGGTGTGGTTATATCTGTTTAGGTATGTTGGCATGTAAATGGGCACATGCGGAGGCCCATGATTGATCATCTTTGTCTTGATCACCCTAGTGTATTGAGGGATAGCTTCTCACTTGAGCTCAACTTACCCAGGGCTAGTTAGCTTGCTTGCTTCTGGGGAATTCCATTTCTACATCTGAGAGCTAAGATTGCAAGGGGATTGCCCCATTCATCACACATTTACAAGGGTCCTAGGAATCCAGTGTGATGTTCTGACCCTGGTACAGGAAGCACTTAACACACTGAGCCATCTCCCCAGACTGGACTTTTAAATCATATTTCTTCCATTTCTTAACATTATTGCAAAATCACACCATTGACCTTTCCTTTTCCTCTCTCCTGAAACTTCCATATCCTATTCTCTATTTCAAATCCATGGCTTCTTTCCCTACTAATTGTTGTTAAATACATCATATATGTATATTAGTATATATGAATCACTGAATATGTAAGTACAGTTGGCTCAGTCTGTATAAATGAGTCATGTGCATGCCTTCAGGCCTGACTGGTATTGGATAACCAATTGGTGTGATCTTCCTTGGGAAAGACTATTTCTCCCACGCTTAGCGTTCCTGAATTGCCTACAGTTCTTTGTGTAGGGTTGAGGCCTGCTGCTGAATGGGGGTTGGATAATCTCCCCACCCCAAATCTCTCCCTGACTTAAGTCCTCCCCAGCTGCATAAGGAATGACACAGTTCACTCTTCCTTCTTTGGGTGATACTTCCTTGTGAATGCAGTCTTCCTGCACCTGGGTTAGGAAAGATTGCATAGTGTAATGACAACTCACAGGACACAGGGACAAAGCTGACAGACCTCTGTCTGTCTGTCTGTCTGTCTGTCTGTCTATATCTATCTATCTACCTATCATCTAACCCCCCCTATATATTTGAGGCAGAACCTCATGTAGAGCACTCTGGCCTCAAACTTACCATGTAGCATGACTTTGAACTTCAGATCTTCCTGTCCGTAATCTCCAGTGCTGTGTACCTTGTACGGTTTTTATATAGTGATGGAGATGGCACCTGAGGCCTTATGCATGGCAAGCAGGCACTTCACTGAATGCAATACATCCCCAGCTTAGAAAATACTTTCTTTTATTAAACCTACTTGAACCAGACAATCTATTATTCTCTTTCTTGCCTTTATCCAAGCTGGAAAATTGGCTTCCGCAGTTTGAGTACTTTGCAAATATGAAAACACCCCTTTACTAGGTACTGAGTTGAAAGGAAACTACAGCTGTCTTGCAAGGAAACTTTCTTTACATTAATGTTGATTCACATGTTACCACACCCAGATCCTCCAACTGGGCTCTAGAAGTGACCATTCCAAAGGGAAGGATAAAACCCTCGATTCCTCTCACTGCAGAACACCCTGAAAGCAGGGTAGAGGCCAGTGCCTGCATCTGATAGGCATCTCTGCCATTGTTTTCTGCTCTTGAAGAAGAAAGCTTGGACATCACCCAGCTGTACTCATCAGACAAGTAAGTGTCTGTTAAACTACCATATTAATAGCTGGATGGTAGACACAGCAGTGCACTGAATGTGACACTGCTCACCTCAGACACACTACTCACAGTGATGACCATCTTGACCAGGCCAGTGCCAAATTAAAATATGTTTATTGGTTCTTTGCTTTTTATTGTTTATTCAGAAGGATAAATTTTTCTATATATTCTATAAACTACCAAACATTACCTGCAACATCATTTAATTGGTGTTTCTTACAAGAACTGAATCAACATCAGATTCTGCTCCTCAGAAAGCCAAAGGCGAATTCACATGGATCAATTGCAGAACAGTCTTGACAGAAGATAAGGAAGGCCCCTGCAATGCACTGCTTTCCGATCCAGGCCAGGAGCATGTTGATCAAAAGTTCACATGTAACTAATGCTTTTGAGGACCTCCATTGCTTTTGGATTAACAATTATTGCAGCGTGAGATTTATCATTTCTATCTAATGTCCTTGACCATAGGGGAGGCTGTGTTCCTCAGGTGGTCTTATAGCAAAAACAAGTCATCATGTTTAGTAGAGAATTAAGAAACCTTAACTGAGACTGCAGTTTTGGTTATTCTGTTTGGACAGCTTTGTGCTTATACCTGTGGTTCCTAGCTCTAGAGAGAAAGTGCCTCTGGATGTGGTCCCTATGGCAGGAAGATGACTGGGTGTGGTTACCATGGCAGGAAGATGATTGGGTGTAGTCCCTATTGCAGGAAGATGATTGGGTGTGGTCCCTATGGCAGGAAGATTATTGGATGTGGTCCCTATGGCAGGAAGGCTTGGGTCTTCTATGAGGCTGGACCACCAGCTCTGAGTCAGCCTATAGCAGAAAAGTACATCTTTAATCCCATGCAACTTCTGTATGGTGTCCCTCACTGCAATAAACTACAGGTCTGTCAGCATTGTTCCTGAGTCCTATGACTTGTCATTACACTATGGAACCTTGTCTAACTCAGGTGCAGGAGGACTGTATGCCAAGGGAACATCTCCACAAGCAGGGAGAGAGAACTGTTTCATTCTTAGGTAGATGGGGAGGGACTCTGGAAGAATGTTCTACAGTCAAGACAGAAATAATTTTTTTCTGGTACCTTTTCTTATAGTTTGTTTTTAGACAAATAGTCAATGATGTTCTCATTGACACCAACCATTAAATGTTCAGGGTTTAAAAGTCTATAAAATAATCTGAGGTATAGCAGGCTAAGGAAACAGATATTAATGAGTATATCTGTGAATGGAATTAGGAAACTTACATATTTATTGCCCAGGTGTAGGAAGGATCCATCACACTGTCAGTTCTTGGTTTTTCCCTGTGCAGAATGCTCGCCTGAGAACAGAGGAGAGGTTTGATCTATGTGCTCAGAGAAATGAAAGATGAAAATAAAGTTGCCTGGATTTTCTCTTTTTCAAGGAAAGTTCAATTTTTCAGGAATATTGTCATTAAAGCCACAGTTTGCCTCTTGGTATTACCTGGAAATTATTTGTTAAGATTTATGAGCTTTCTTTGGCCATCATATATTTCCACCCTAAAGGATCCTTGCTGACTAACTCCCTGGAGGTGAGAGTTTCAGGAGACATAACAGGGGAGATTCCAGGTGGTTCATTACAGACTCTCCTGTTATGTGAGGTGGCTTTTCCTAGGCAAACCCACACTATATATTTAAAGTACAGTTTTATTAAGAAGGAATTATTAGGTGGTCCTTCTGTTTAAATAATTTAGTGGGAACTTTGGGGAAATAATTTGTAAGTCAACGGGAATGCCTTAGTGACATTCAAGGAAGCATATAGGTGACATTCCTCAAAATTTCAGTGATATTCTGCTGTTGAGTACAAAGGTAACAGGGTGAACCTGGAGAGTGGAAAGATGAGAGTCCCCAGCAGTTTTTACAAGGTACAGAACTTGTGACTAGCATGCTTAATCTGACCTGAACCGTTCAGGGAATATCAAGCATCAGCCCCTATCACTGGCTGCAGGAGCAATGTGGTAAGATTCTCCATCTGTTAGGATACCCGATATCACTTTGCTCTAGCCTTTATCTACCAGTGGTTAGCACAGCTGTCTTCTGGTGACAGTGTCTATGTCACCAGTTACCTTCACAGGTGTGGCAGTAATAAATAGTATCAGAGAGCTAGGAGACAGACTCAGGACTCTTTCCAGTTGTGCTGGTTAGGTCCTGTGTTAGAGGAGTTGCTGAGCATGGTGTGCCATTCCTTGCAGCCCCAGTCACACGCCAACTGTCTGATGGCACCTGTTTAGTTTGCCAAAGGCACGTCACTTACCTAGAGCCCATGACCTGGAAGTAGAGGAATAACTAAAGAAAATACATGTTTGTTTAACCCCTTCTACCTGACAGAAATTACATAAAGGGAATAATTACATGAGAGTTCATTACAATTCTAAATAGTTTACCTCAAGTTCTGTCCAGTCAGAAATGGACAATGTGAGAAAAACTCAACAGTATCCTTGTTTTGTAACAGTTATTATAATAATGATATCTGTGTGTAAGGATTTGAATAAGGAATGTCCCTCATGGACTCACGTGTTTGAACACTTGGTCTCCACCTGGGAGCACTGTTTCAGGAATTAGGGAGGTGGAGTTGGAACCTTGCTGGGGGAGCACGTCACTGGGGATGGACTTTGAGCACTGTTTCAGGAATTAGGGAGGTGGAGTTGGAACCTTGCTGGGGGAGCACGTCACTGGGGATGGACTTTGAGCACTGTTTCAGGAGTTAGGGAGGTGGAGTTGGAACCTTGCTGGGGGAGCACGTCACTGGGGATGGACTTTGAGCACTGTTTCAGGGGTTAGGGAGGTGGAGTTGGAACCTTGCTGGGGAGCACGTCACTGGGGATGGACTTTGAGCACTGTTTCAGGGGTTAGGGAGGTGGAGTTGGAACCTTGCTGGGGGAGCACGTCACTGGGGATGGACTTTGAGCACTGTTTCAGGGGTTAGGGAGGTGGAGTTGGAACCTTGCTGGGGGAGCACGTCACTGGGGATGGACTTTGAGCACTGTTTCAGGGGTTAGGGAGGTGGAGTTGGAACCTTGCTGGGGGAGCACGTCACTGGGGATGGACTTTGAGCACTGTTTCAGGGGTTAGGGAGGTGGAGTTGGAACCTTGCTGGGGGGAGCACGTCACTGGGGATGGACTTTGAGGCTCTGCAGCTTTGCTATGCTTTTTGCTCTCTGGCATTGAAAATGTGGTCAGCGTCCTGTTCCTGCCTTTCCCACCATTAAGGACTCTGTCCTTCTGGAACATAAGACAAAAAAATAAAGCCTTTCTTATTTTAAGTTGTTTTTGGTAGCGATACATATCACAGCAACAGAAAACAGCTACTGTGACAAAACAAAGAACACATCTACATATACAGGGGATAAGGAACAGTTGGAAGGCAATAAGATGCCAAACACCAACAGTGGGTGTGTCAAGTGTGTGCTTAACTGTGATTTAAATTTTTTATGTTATGTATCTTTTGTATTTTATATTATGCATTATGTGGTCTAATATTTTCTTCAAATTTCTTGTAGCCTTGTCTAGTCTTGGTGTTAAGTTGACCAGACTTCCTACAAAAGTGTCATTCTTCTGAAAGCACAAGTTTCTTCCACAGTAGCACACTTTTCCTTTTCAATGAAGATGAGATACACCTTTAAGCATGCATGGACTATACTGTCAGCAGCAGACTGCCTAAGGAAGAACATATCTAACGGAATCAGGGAGGACAAGTAGATGAGCATGGTGACCCAACCAGAGGAAGGGGGTTTGGAGATAAGAATCTGTTAAAATTGGGGAAATGACAAGAAATTTAATCACAATCCAGAAGAATCTGGAAACAAAACAAAACAAATTTAGCATATGCTGGAATTTTCCTTGAAAGTATGATGTTTTAAAGATTTTTTTTCTTTTCCTTTCTTGGAAACATTTGTTTATTGTCTTCTGTAATAACATAATTTACTTTGAGATAAAATTCCTGAGATTCTATAGTGAGCCAATGGTTGTTCCCTGAACCATGTATGGTTCCTGAAACTCCAATTTCATTGTGTTCTCACTTATGCATATTAATTGACACTGTATGCTTTAGAGGGAAATAAAAGCTGCAGCAATCTTCAGCTAAGGTTTGTGAGTGGCTGGATGTCTCCTTTATCAGATGATTTTTTATTTAAGTTTTTTGAGATGATTATATGGGTAATGGTAGAAAAACAGAGCTAACACTTAAGACTGGGTGTTAAATTGTACAGTATTGGAGAAACACGGGAGACCTGAGGACTGTGCACAGCAGATCCGGATCCCAGCCCGACGGGATTCAGCCCGCCCAGAGACTGCCAGCTTCCAAGTCCCATTCTCCACCCAAGGGACAGGTGAGGTGAGGGTCCAGTCTACCCAGAGTTTTCCAAGGTCCCCATACTAGGATGGCTTCCATCCATGCAAGAGGAAAACCATCAGGGTATTGGACTTGCTCCCACCCACTGGAAAGGAACCATGGTCACATACCTACAGGGTAGGAAGAGACTACTTCTGTACCCACAGGAATAAATGATGAGAAGGAGACAATACAAAAACACACCCACCAACAGAAAAACCAATATGACACCACCAGAAACTAGAGAATCTATACTCGTAAGACTTGAACATCCTATTGCAGAAGAAGCAGATGAGAAAGACCTTAAAAACAACTTCATGAAAATGATAGAGGCCCTCAAAGAAGATATGAGAAAATCCCTTAAAGACATGGAAGAAAAAACAAACCAAAAATACAAGAAATGGAGGAAAAAAACAATCCAAAAAATGCAAAAAATGCAAGAAATGGAAGAAAAGACAAACCAAAAACTTCAACAAATGCATGAAAGAGAGGAAAAGGCAAAGTAAAAATTACAAGAAACAATTCAAACATTGCAAGGGTTTGAAATAAAGAAAACCCACAATCTGAAGGAATGCTGGAAACAGAAAAGCTGGGCAAATGGTCAGGTACTACAGATACAAGCATAACCAACAGAATATAAGAGATGGAAGACAAAAAGTCAGGTGTTGAAGATACACTAGGGGAAATAGATTCATCAACCAAACAAAATTTTAAGTCCAACAAATCCCTAACACAAAATATCCAGTAAATATTGGACACCATGAAAAGACCAAACCTAAGAATAATAGGTATAGAAGAAGGTGAAGAAATCCACCTCAAAGGGGAAGAAAACATTCAACAAAATAATAGAAGAAAACTTTCCCAAATTAAGAAAGAAATGCCAATGAAAGTACAAGAAGCCTACAGAACACCAAATAGAGTGGACCACAAAAGGAAATCCCTTCGTGACATAATAGTAAAAACCCCGAACATACAGAATAAAGAAAGACTATTAAGAGCAGCAAAGGAAAAAGGCCAAATAACATACAAAGGTAAACCTATCAGAATTAAATCTGACTTCTCCATGGAAACTCTGAATGCCAGAAGGTCCTGGATAGATATTCTACCAACACTAAGAGACCACGGCTGCCAGCCCAGACTGCTACATCCAGCAAAGCTTTCAATCACTATAGATGGAGAAAACAAGATATTCCATGACAAATCCAGATTTAAACAATACATATTCACTAACCCAGCCCTACAGAAAGTTCTGGAAGGAAAACCCCAACTCAAGGGAGTTAACTACAACCAGAAAAACATAGGCAATAGATAATCCCACCTTACCAACAGCCAAAAGAAAAGAGGTGGAATTCCACATATAATTCCACCACCATCAACTATTCCAAAACAAACAACAATGAGCAATCAATGGTTATTAATATCCCTCAATATTAATGGTCTTAACTCGACCATAAAGAGACACAGGCTAACAGAATGGATTCGAAGATAGAACCCATCCTTCTGCTGCATACAAGAAACACATCTCAGCACCAAGACAAGCGGGGGAGGCAATCCTAATATCTAACAAATTAGATTTTAAAATAAAATCAATCAAAAGAGATGAAGGAGGGCACTTCATACTCATCACAGGAGAAATCCACCAAGATGAAGTTTAAATTTTGAACATCTATGCCCCAAATACAAAGACAACCACGTTCATAAAAGAAACATTACTAAAACTCAAATCACATATAAAGCCCCACACACTTATAGTGGGAGACTTCAACATCCCACTCTCACCTCTAGACAGGACTATCAGACAGAAACTTAATAAAGAAGCAAAGGAACTAATAGAAGTTATGACTCAATTGGGATTAACAGACATCTATAGAACATTCCACCCAAATAAAAAAGAATATACTGGCCGGGCGGTGGTGGTACACACCTTTAATCCCAGCACTTGGGAGGCAGAGGCAGGCGGATCTCTGTGAG